TAAGAGCAACTCCACAAACCCTAAGCTTGTCATTGATTGAACCCTTTCTCCTATTTTGATCTTGAGAAAGACCAAGACACGATAGAAGTAAATTGATTATCTGGATCTTGCTACTTCTTTGCGTTCTTTATATCCAAAGCTTTTACGCACCGTCAATTTCAAACTATTGCAACACAGGACTTCAATTTTAATTTGCTATTCTCGCGCTACTTCCTTTGTGTTCTTTATCTTCAAAGGATCCATTGCATTCTTTATCTCCAAAGAACTTCACTTGGTCGCAATTACCTCTCGAACGTCTTGCACAAAACCCCTCAAATCAACTAATGATCTTTGAGGACAAACCCGATATTTTTCCTAGATGAAAACTCATGCAAAGCTCAACCCAATACACAATTAGAAACTATCAATCCTCATCTAGATGAAACCCCCAACAGAACATCGCTACAATGTAATGTCAGTGTGTATGCATAGATTGGAGGTTGAAGATGATGAGAGAAATAGACTAATTTTATGGTTTCACCAAGTTATGAATGATGCATGAAAAAGTATTTATAGTTTTAGAACTTTTAGGGCAAAAGAGCCAAATTCAGAATAAAGAGATTTTATGAAATTTGATCAAACAAACAATATATTTCGACCTAAGTATCGTATGTATCGACATATACGTAATTTTTAAACTGTATGTGTCAACCTATAAAAGGCTAAGTATCGACCAAACCAAGTCAGAGGACGATAGTAAATGTGTCGATCTGAAAAGCTTATATGTCGACACATAAAATAAGAATTTCTGCAATTTCCAAAATGCTTCAATATGTGTCGACCTGAATGACTGCATGTGTCAACCTGTGACTTATAAAAGCTACATGCTTTAAAAATGAGTTGCATGTGTCGACCTGAAAAACAGACGTGTCGACACATGCAATAAAAAGTAAGTAGAAAATTATTTTTAATGGCTTGAATCAATTTCAAAATGCATTTTGATGATTCCTAAGACCTCTAATGCAAAGGAGTGCCACAAGATATAAGGATATCGTCCAATGTTCAGAAGTGCAAGCTTTTCCCAGCTTTGACATCATTCCAAATATTTGACGACGAAGTTTGTACACGGACTCTGCCTAGTGGACCTCCAAGGAACCTCCTTCAAAGAGAGTTTTGTTGTGAAAGCAAGAGGGCACATTGAATTTCCCAAGACCTTGTTCCCCGATAAGATCTATCAAGTCATCTGAACAAGATCTCTTAGTCCTTGAGCTCATCAGAAGAAGAGAAGCCTGCTCAGCAATCGATCTCAACAAAGAAGTCACTGACCCTGTCAGAAGCACACCTGGTCCATCAGCACCCAAAATACTCTTGGAAATCCCTTCATGTGCTTTCTTGGCCTTGGCCGCATCAATCTTGAGCATGCGCTTCTGAGGAGTAGAGATTTTCTCTGCAACAAAGCGAACACGAATTAGCGAAACATGGGTATCAGAGTAAAGACAGGTCAAAAACAGAATGAATACCTAAATATGTTAAAGGCTCATCGCATTCGAGGAGCTTCTTGACATTAATAAGATCGGACTCAAATGCAGCTTTCCCCTCCTCATCAATGAGAACCTTTCCCCCTTTGCCCAGTCGCTGAGTTAGTGGTATGCTCTCGACAAAGGCCAGCAGTTGGTCGCAACTAGCCTGGTCTTCAGGGTTCACCTGTAATAATCGGTCCCATGATCAAAATGCTCCCTATTCTAGTGAAAGTTGAATCTCTGCACCAACTCACTCCTCGGTTCACCCTCCTCAGTCAGCATCGACTCCCCGTCCTCACCCCGCTTGGGGACACTCATGAAAACATTTAGAATCACCTTCTCCGACACAGGTTGGACCAACAAGTACATGTTCTTGAAGTGTCAGATAGACTCAAGATAGACCTTGAAAAACTTCCCGTTAACCTACTTCAAGAAGACCCATCTGAACTGATTACTAACTGTGCCCTTCTAAAGGTGAAAGTAGCAGAAGAACAAAGAGACAATGGCCCCAATCTTCAAATAATCGAACACAATCTCAAAAGCACGCAGGAAGGCTATCGAGTTGGGTGAAGTTGCGAGGGAGCAAGACAAAGATAGTTAAAAACGACCACTTGTAGGTCAGTGAAGGGAAGCCGGAAACCCATGTCCCTGAAAAGGATCTTGTACATAGGGAGATGATTTACATCATACTTCGAGCAGATGTGATAACGCTTCCCGGGGATGTAGACAACCCATTCCTCCTCAACACTCTCTTGCTCCATCTCCGCAACCACAATTGTAAACAATTCATCCAGATGCTCGATGAAACAAGATATAATCTCTCAAGGACCCAAAATGACCTAGTCCATGGAAGCCACAGGGGTCTCAAGCATATTCTGCTCATGTTGAATCTTTCCTAACGTGATCGGCTCAGAACCTTGCTGCCCCGACGTACTCTCTTCGGTCGAAGTACGCTCTGACGAACTTTATTGGCCTTCACTTTGCTCGCTCATAATTTCATCATCAGTGCTACTAGCCATTTTACTTGAAAATCAGGGGACAAAAGTGAATTCTACGTCAAATCAAATCCACTATTCCACCACTAATCAAGTGAAAGGGCGCACAAAGGAACGAGGACCCTGTCTCCGACCAGAGCCCTCACTTAAACAGCAAAAAACACAAGGATGATTCCCTATAACGTGTTAGGAATTTGTACGTCAGGATAAACCTTTGTCCGCGCCAGGAATAATCTCCCCGATAACTAGGTCTTAAACCTCACTTGAGGGTTCATCATAAAACGCATGAAGATCATCTCAAAAACCCAGAAACGATCCAAAAGCTCATTGCAACTTGTTGTTGTCATCCTTAACATTAGACATTCCCATAAGATTCACGGCGGAGCCGACATCCTCATATGGTAGAACCACCGTCAGACGCCAACAAACCACAAAAAATTTCCACACTAAAACTACTTTAATCCTAACCGCATGCATCTCTAGAAGCAAAATCAGAAAATCTAACCTAGAACAAAGATGAATTTCACAAAAACAGGGAAAAATCAAAGAACTTACTGGGTCGAGGAAGATTGACGACAGAACGAGCAGCAACTCCAGCGGTAAACGGCGAAACCGACAGAAACTTCGACGATGAACGACAGCGTTTTCCAGAACTAGGAAAACCTATGGGTCATCATCATTTCGCCATAATCTCTATACTTGCCATCATTACACATTTATGACAACACGTGGCTCGATGCAGGCATGACACGCTATCTCTCATAGTCCAATGAACCATCCAGCTTCGTGCGCGCTGAACACAAGGGACCACATTCGATTCCCTCGACACAGTTATCCCTAAACGCATCTCAAAGTGTTCCTGTTTCCCACGACAAGCATAAAAAAACATTGTCACCTCCTCGACACGTGGGCTGACTCTATGTCATCACTCCTACACCTAGGCACAACGACTTGAAGGACTCCTGTTCTGGACTGACCCAATGGCTAGGCATGGCCCAATCCGCTTCTACCTTCCACATGGCCCAACAGCTTTGGCCAACTAGCTCTACCCTTCAGTCAGACACATTTGGTCTACTGCACCCCATGAATGGAGAGACCAACGACGCTCTGAGTCACGCGTCTGCCCGCATCGACAACTACCTTCAGGTCTACTCGACACGTCTGGAGCAGACAACTAGGAAACGTCCATATCGCATCTGCCTGTAATCTCTACCTTGCTCGGAACAACAACTAGTTACAAGCATGAGTGTCCATTTTGACTAAGTCTGGGCAGTTACTTATTTTTTAGGAACCTAATATCTAGGCCCAAAAATAGGAACCAATTACCAAGCGTTGAGGGCATTATATAAACCCTCACACCTGTGAGGGTCAGGTATCAAATATTCACTCTAAAAAACCCTAATCTCTTTCTTATATCTCTTTGCACCCATTCTTATTTGAGCGTCGGAGTGCCTTGCATGTACACTCCCCCCCTTCTCTTCAATTTTCCAGCCTAACAGACATCATCCTTCGACCCACTTTCAGATTCTAATTAATCGATAAGACCAATTAGCATAAATTTTTTTAACTTTTTGTGAAACCACATAACATGTCCTATACGGACGAAAGTGTGTATACATCATTAGCTTTGCCTCAGATGAATTCCACAACAATGATACTACTTAATAATCAATTGAGTCTCGATCATCTTTCACCGCTGCATCAATTTCTAAAACCTTTTTAAGTAAGAGATCATTCATAAAACATTTCATACCAAAAAAACAAAGAATCAGGAACCATATCCTCATAAGAGATCATTTATGGGTGAAACTTTCTAACAGAGTTAGAAAAATAAGACCTGATTTTGTACAAAAACTTATATATAGTTAAGGTAGGTGACAAGTTAGCTGAAAGCAACAAGTTTGAGGGAAACATAGTTTTCAAGCAAATTAAAAAGAAAAACAAACAAGATTAGGAGGAAACAAGAAGCATTGCTAGATATGAAAGTTGCAGCAACGAGATCAGAAATAAATCAGAAATCATAACAGTGTATAGAAATGCAAAGTGCCCACCTAATGGGAGCTAAATCTAAATATATTCCAAAACTTATTCTTCTCACAAAATATATTCCAAAACTTATTCTTCTCACAAATCTAAATGCACATGAATTGGTACAAAACTGAGGCCAGCCAATGATGTAAATGAACACAAGTCCCCATAGCTTGAACTCTATATCAAGCCATTACCTTGCCATAAGATCTTCTTAAACTAACATAATCTTGTTGACAATTTTAAAACCAGAATATTATCCTAGATAATATGGGCAACAATTAAAATGCAATATTGTAGGCTACTCTTGCATTAAATTAAAGCACCCCATAGTATTCAATATCTCGAGTGATGAGAAGAGACAGCCTACATATTCTTCTCACAAAACTTCAAAACAAAAATAGCTCAACTCTTTGCTTTCCTCCGTGAAAATATTTTTCGCCTAACTTCCGAGCAACTTTAAATCTTGGATGCATAATCAGCTGTAGGAACATCAATTGGGAATTAAAATCCTAAGTGTTTTGAACCTTTAAAAAGCTCAGTGACACCTTTAAGCACCACTACCACGGGGCTTTGAAATTGGAGAAGAGATAAGTGAAAATCACCTCACAAAACCAAAGGAGAGGGAAGAGGACAGTAAAGGAAAGGTGCTACAATTTCCGATGCAGCAGCTGGCACTCCTGACAGAGGTAACGGTGGCCACTTGCGGTGGCTTTTTGAGAATTTTCTGTTCCAAATCGCCACTAGTTACAAAGAAACAATGAGTTATGAGAACGGGGGAGAATAATGGAGCTGACATGGTGGCTGAAGCTACGTACCGCAACAAAGGCAATCTCTAACACGGGGTCATTGACGAACTTGCTCCAGTCGTGAAAATCAACAGCTCAACAGGAAGAGCTTAAGATGGAGAATCTGATGCATCTTCATGAGCCCATGTCATGGTGGTCTGAGCAACTTCCTGCAAATGAAGCTTCTGATGAAATGTAAAATGGCGTGGCTGTGGATGAGGTTTTACTAGGTGAGGTACCAGATTGATCCCATCTCTCACCGGATTCCCATAGGATGAAAAGAACTGTGGGCCCAAGGAAAAGTTTTACCACGTCCCCATGGTGGGACCAATGTTCTCATCTAAAAACATCAATCAACTTTGGGAATGTTGATGGTGAGGGATGATCTTTAAAGTGGTGATGCTGAACAGAGGGTAAGTACCTGCAAAAGGCACTTTGATGCCAAAGTCAGTCTCAGCATGATATAGTAAAAGAGTAAGAAAATGTGAGATACCTGAGCTAGGGCAACTCGTGCTTTTTTATATAAGTGAGAGGGGCTCATTCTTGTGCCTTATGTCTTTGGGCCATAGGGCATCGGAGTCACATGTTCATTTGGTCGGACCACCATCCAAAAAGTCAATCCTTAGCTCGATTGTTTGGCAGAACAGAAATGCAGTCAGTCTATCTTCTTTCTATTCACTCGGCTACCCTGTGTAGTGTGAGCTTGGTCTTGTGGACCAAAATATTTGGTATCAAACACAACCCTGGAGCGTCAAACCCAGCGGGTGAAGGCACTCTGAATGAGCAAGTGGTCAAATAGTTTGATACTGAACAGTTCCATCAAATTATACCGACATCACCAAATCAGATAAAAATCAAACACGATTCATCTTTAAGCCATTTGTTGCAACCTCACAATAAAATTTTACAAGATTCTAAAAATAAAAAAAATTTAAGAGTCAAAGCCTATACTTATCATCTTCTGAAATGAAATAATCATTTTTATTATCTATAATCAAAACACAATTACAACATTCCCCAATCTTATTAGGTATAATTTCACCAACAAACCAGAGAAGAATGTAACATTTCGCACAGTTCTGAAGGATAACAACTTTTACAACCGATAACACTTCAACAGCTGATAACTAATTTAAATTACTGTGTATATCTGTTGGGAAATACATGTACAGTATCAGACTCCTTCCTGTATGAATCCAGTTTGCAAAACTCAAGCCTATTTCACATAATATGATTCAGGCATATTATATGGCAGCGTCAGCTTTTATTTGCTGCAACAACAAACGAGTCAAAAGAAAATTAGTAACATGTGAATGCAATTAAATTGGTTGATGTGGGACCCAATTTAACTCACATTTGAGATATCCTTCCACAAGTTGAGAGTCTTGAGAGCTTTTCCTGATTGTTGTGTTTCACGCGCCAAAGAAACCCCTTCATGTAGGTTCCTCACAAAGCCACTGACCATGAGAGCTGCTGCCGCATTGAGAATCTGGGCATTGTTTTGTACAAAATGATCAAAATGTGTATATGGTACCAATGCTTACATAAAGAGTGATCCAAGTAGCAAGAGATAATGCAAGACATGTTATGAATTTCAGTATTTTGCAGGAAAAATGAGACAGAAAGAAAGTCCAGGTAGCTTATTGACATAATTTCATGTTATATTTAATTTCTTCATACACAAGCAAAACCACAAGCCCATAACAAAATGAAGAGATTGAAATCAAAATAACTTGCATAAAATTTTATCTAACAGGGTTAAACTAATATTGAAAGAAATGTATATTCCATCTTAACCAAAATTTCATAAACTCCTAGTCGAAGTTGCATTGAAAGCATCATTATAATTTCCATTCCATTTGGCAGCAACCTCCCATCACTTACAAAAACACCATCCTCTAAGCTTTTTTATATGATTGAAAAAACAAGGAAACTTACAAAAGCATCTGCAATAGGTCCTTTCTCTCCACCCAGAACACGTTTGAGAACCTCTGCATTGTATTCTGGGTCACCACCTATTAAGCTTTCAAGACTGCACCTAGGAATGCCAAACTCCACTGTTCCAATAAACAATCTAATGTAAAGAGTGCAAAAGTGTGCATGTCCAGTAAAAAATCCATTACGGCGCCCAATTAGTAGCATGAGTTGTATTAATATACTTCATAACATAAATAGATTAAAACCATAAATTAACATATGCTTACAGGGATCAAATGAGAATTTTTCAATCCTTTCTGAAGTAACATCAAGTACTAGACCAGGTCCTGAAGGTAAAGTCACAAGGTACCACACAAATCAGATTAAGATGCCAATATCTTTTTAAAGAAATGATTTCAATATGTAAATCTAAGCAAGAGATCTCACCCATAGGAGTAATTTCATCCAAGCCTTCAGAGTGGACAACTAAAGCTCTTTTCATGCCAAATCTATTAAGCGCTTTGGCCATTTTGAAGACCTATCCAAAAGGCCGAGAGAAATAGCTTATTAGGGATGATGTAGATGGAGAACAACGGTAAGAATTAGATCCTCGGCTCTTCAAGTTAAACTATTTTTTTCTTTTCTTTTTGAGAAGATACAAAAAATAAGAAACAAAAACATATGTTTGCGGATTTGACAATCATGTCAGTTTCTTGCTACAATGACATCAACAACAAAAAAGAAGACCCAGGGTATTTTAAAAGTTCTAATTTGAACAGAAACAATCAAATATGGATGAATTATTCAATCAACTGATAATCTACATTTCTTTTGAAGGATACAAATACAACGATTATTAAGGAAAAAAAACAATAAACAAAACCTCAAAGCCAGAGCTCAGTTGCATCACAATTCACAATAAATGTTTTAACGTAAAAAAAAAAAGGGTTGACACTAGACAATAAAATAGGTTGATATTACTACGAGAAAAAGGGTTGAACTTGTTTAAAAATTTTCAATGTAAACCAGTTGCTTCAATATGAGGTTGCTTTCACAACTATCAATCTTCACACCACAAATGCTATGAACAAATAGATTTCTTTAATATTTCTCTTTTCTTGATTAGATATTCTTGACAGGAAGTAAGTTTAATCTAATAGATGATCGATCAAATAGCTTTTCAGTAATAGAACTTACCAAATCTTCTTTGTATACACCAACAACTGCAAAAGGTGCTTGTGCTGGATTTAACATCGGACCCAAGATATTAAATATAGTTCTTACTTTCAGCTTCTTTCTTATAGGCCTGACAACCTTCATTGCAGGGTGATACCTTGGAGACATCATAAACCCGATTCCCACATCATTCACACACTTCTTAATCCCCTGATTTGCAATAACAGAAGTTTTTTTTTACTCAAATGCATTGATTACGCATACTATGCTTTTTAAGAAATTCTAAAGTTAACAAAGAGGATCAATAAAAGAGGGATTTGCATTAACCTGAGGACCCAAGTCGATAACAACTCCTAATGCTTCTAACACGTCAGCACTTCCACATGCAGAAGAACTGGACCGGCTTCCTTGCTGCAACAAGGAATCAACCAAATTCATCACAGACCAGTACAAGAACTCTTCAAACTTCCAATCAATAACAAAATACACACCTTGGCAACTTTTACACCACAAGCAGCAGCAAGAATGGAAGCCCCTGTTGAAATGTTAACCGTGTTTGCACCATCCCCTCCCGTGCCAACAATGTCAACCACATCACCTAAACCTTCAACCTTTGTAGCATGTTTCATCATAGCCTTCGCCAGCCCCGCAATCTAGCAACACATTTAATAAAATAAAATATTTCAATCATTGCTTACTTAATTGTTCCACAACTTATTTAGTTTTCAGTTATGTAACACATAACGCATATGGTTGGTTATATTCATTATATTCAAATTAAATCATTCTTAGTTTTCTCATATTATTAGTGGTGTATATCAGTGCTTCATAGGTTTTACTGTAGTGTCATTTGTATAGAATGCACACCGTCACCTCTGAAAATATGTTTATTCATGTCAGTGTCAATGTTCGAAACTGATGATTATGTTTAATTAATTAATTATTTTCAAATTATTACCAGTGTCATCGTGTTTCTAGTGTCTGTGCTTCATAAATAATAAGAATCACTTGCAATTATACTACACTAAAAAGTTTGCCATAAGGTAGAGTACTCCAATAATTTATGTAGTAAAATTGTCAAGACTCATTAATAACAAAAATGAAGGAGAATGAGTAAAGTTACTTCTTCAACAGTTTCTCCTTTAGCTCTCAAAAGCACAAGAACAGCGCTAATCAAAGCTTCACTAGCTTCATTCAACAGCAAATGAAGACACGATTCAGCTTCAGCTTCCGTCAAATCAACGCCACTAATCAACGACTCAATAAGCTACAAATTACAAAACAAATTTCAATAAATAAAAAAAAACTGCGACATAATCAAAATTTTGATAGAGTTGAAAGATAAAACTGACAAATGAAGAATTGACCTACCTGAGGAACAGACTGAACCGACGTAATGGCATTCGGAGCAACGGAAACGTTAGCAGCGGCAATGGAAGTGGTGGTTCGGTGAATCGGAGAAGAAAGATGATAGGTTAGGGATGAGGTTCGGAGGTTGAGGTTCGGGAGATGACGATGAGGGAAGGAAGGAGAAAAGACTGAGGAGGAGAAAACGGTTTGAGCCATTGGGTTTTGATTCTCTGTGTTTCGAATCAATGGCGTAACGGTAGAAATGCGACAAAGAGTAGAGTGTAAGGAATAAATAAGTGAAATATTTTATTCTTTTATAGTATAATTTAATTTTTTTATACGTTGAACGTGAAGAGCACTTATATTTTTATTATTATTATTATATTTCTTTTATGGTTTGTGTACCTTTTTTTCTGACAAATTTATATACCAACGTGGATGAATCTATTAGTTTCACTTTATTATTATTCCACTTCAACATTAGTACATTACTATATTGTTGTATTATTAACTTATAATATTTCTGTCAAAAATGTATTTATTAATTGTCATATTATCGATAATCTATCAGTAAATTATTTCTGTATTGGCGTTATTTAATTGACCATGTGTTTTAATTTTTAACTTAATAATATTGATAGCATTGAATATTTTTGTTTTTTATTTGTTATTCTTTTGTTATTTTTTAAAGTATAAGATGACGTATTTTGATGCCTTATCTTAGTTTTAATTAAGGATTTAAATGTGTATGTTAAGTTCAAATTCAAAGAATCAATTTACGTATTTTTCATGTAAATTATAGATAACTTTCCCTTTTAAAAATAAATATTATGTTCAAAGAATGAAAAAACTTAAAAGATGCGCAGATGCATAGTATAATATGCAGAGAGAGATAATGTTAGTATTCTAAGAATATTTTTTATTTGATTTTGGTTTTTAATTTATAAATACTTTTAAGGAATTAATTTTTGAAAAGTATTTTAAGAAATATTGAAAAAATAGTTATTGGTAATTTTAATTTTAAAAATTATTTTAAAGATGGAGAGTTAAGAAATTTATTTATTACGTTTATTTTCAAAATATATTTTGGAGAGTACATTGCATATAAAATTATTATGGTAAATACTTTTTTTCTTTTCCTATTTTGTATTTTTCTAATTAATATATTAAGTTATAATTTCAACTAACTCAAAAAGAATATTCAATAATGGATCGATAATATAGTAAGGAATATGGAGTAAAACATAGGAAGAACGTCGTCTTAAAGACGAAGTGAAAGAAAGAAAGTTTTATATCAACATTAATGATGAGAAGAAGAGCGAAACTTGTCTTGACGTGTTTTTTTTTCTCTTTTTTAGTTGAAAAAAATTAATTTTAATTCTTTAAGTTGAATTATTTGATTTTTTTTCTAGATAGATCTAAATTTAAAAAAAAAACATTATATTTCTTAATACTTCTACCCTACTGATGCATCATTGGTGTAGTTTCAACATAAAATTTAGTATGAAATAAAATCTTACAAAATTATCTAGGATATAAATGAATTTATTCGTGGTGACGCACAAATTTTCTATTAATTTATTTATATTATAAATATTCTAGTTAATTCTCTTGTCTACTTTAGATCACGATTTAATAATTGTTAAATATTAAAATAATATTATACAATTCTTGATATAGAATTCTTAAATTCTCTTTTTATCTGGATGTTTGTTAAGTTGGTGTGTGAAATAATTTTAATGTTTTAAATTTAAAAAATTAATAAAAAAAGAGAAAAAAAATACTTTTATAATATTATTTTTAATATTTTAAAAGAAATTTTAGGAACGAACCAAATCAACTTATTCAAAATTTAATAAAATTAAATTTCATAGAAAAATAATAAAATTTAATAAATTGATATTTTTTATTAAATTTTTTTATTAAATTTTTTATTAAACCAACTTTTATAATATTTTTTATTAAATTTAATAATATTATTTTTTATTAATAAAATTTATAAAATTGATTATTCTTTTAAAAAATATTCCCTTTTAATTAATTTTTTTCCACTCTTGATAATAACAATAATTAAGAACGGAAAGTAAAGAACAAAGTATGTTTATACCAGTTCACTTAAAAACTATCAAGCTAGTCTAGTCCATCCGCCAAGGTGATTTCGCTTCTCTCAAACGAGAATTTAATCCAATAATCCAACTGATTATTAAAATGCATAAGCTACCCACAAGTGACTAACAACCTCCAAGACACACAAGTCTTAGACTTCTCAATGATACAGACCTAATTGGTCCCTTAAGGAAAATCAAAATCTCAAAGACACACTAGTCATAGACTTCTCAAGGATACATACCTAACTGGTCCCTTAAGGAAAATCAAACAACTGTTTGAGTAGAAGTTTCATTTACAATAATATTGCTTTTACACAAGCTAAATATGTAAACTATTTTAAGAATAATAGACTAAAAATATGAAACCTATGAACAACATTTTGTGTGATATTTTGTTTTTAGCAACTTTCTCTCTTAGTCTTCAAGCCTTTACACAACCAATAAAATAATATATTCGTTGAGGGGTACTCTTGGGATTTCCATAATCATTGGTGGCTTAAGCAGTAACGTGGGGGACAAGATCGCGCAATGCGCCCGTCCTTTCGTGGTAGTGGAATGAAAAGTTGATTATACCATGTACTATTTGTATCACGTTAATGTTATCTTCTTTCCTTCTTCACTTTAGAGGCTTCTGCAGGCATGAGTTTAGAAGCGAGAACATAACACAAGGTCATCAGAATTTCAAGTCTTCAGAACTGCGTCTTCATAATCTTCAGTACTTGGTCGTGAGAACCTTTACTAGAACCTTGAGTCTTTAGAACTTCAAGTACTTAGAGTCTTTAGAACTTCTGTCTTCAGAGTCTTCAGCACTTGATCTTTAGAATCCTTTTCTTAGAACCTTGGATCTTTAGAGACCCGAATCTTTAGCATCTGGACTTGAGTAGAAATTCTTGTCTTCAGACCTTCTGACTATTTCTTTAGAACCCGTTGTCTTCAGAAACATGAGTCTTCCGCATCTGGACTTTAGTAGAAACTTTTGTCTTCAAATTTTCTAACTTGTTTCTTTAGAGCACATTGTTTTTAGAAGCATAAGTCTTCAGCATCTGGACGTAAGTAAAACTTCTGTCTTCAGATCTTCTGACTTGTTTCTTTAGACAAACATTAGAGCCTACACTTTAGAAGCTTATGAAGTGTCTTACTATTGTTCATTAGAACTTGTGTAACGCAGAAGCAGAATTAATTCTCTTCTAATATCTTGGCTATGTCATTCATCAGAAGCAGAACCTGTTTGTTAAATACTCAGAAATAACAAACATTAGAGTATCAAAATTGTTCATACAAACATACTCATTTGTTATCATCAAAACTCATTGATAATATTGCAGAACCAAATCTTGTTCTAACAATCTCCCCATTTTTTATTATGACAAAACTATGTATTTTGATGACACAATTTTGTTCATATAATCAGAAAAAGTGAAAATAAAAAGGTAAGGAATACTTATCCTTCTTACGAAACTCCCCGTGAGTCAAAGACTTCATGAAGATCGAGTATCCTGACTCTGAACCATTTGATTAGAAATCCCCCTGGTTCCAATAGATCGGATATTAAGATCTTGAGAGTCTTGACTCTAGATGCTAATGAAAATGAAATCAATTGAAATCTTGAAACTTTAATGTCACTAAGACAACTTTCAGATTCTCAATTCTTGGAGTCTGATTATGAAACATATCTTCAGAGTCTGAAGCCAACAGGTTAGACATAAATCTTTCATAATACTTTCAGATCTTTGTCTTTAATCAGAGTTCTCATGATTCTTGAAAAAGAAAAACAATTCTAACAGAAATAGAAGTTTAACTGGGTTAGAAAGTAAGAAGCTATTTTAAGAGAATATTTTCCAGAACTTGATTATTGAAATCAAAATTACATTTATTTAATTACTCCCATTTTTTGTCATACTCAAAAAGGTAATTATGTGTGAAAAACTTAAAAACCAGAAGAATTAACAAGTAAAAAATAAGAAGTTCCATTGATATTTGAAAACGATTACAACATAAGGAGAACCAATAGAATAAACACAAACAAGGAAAACTATCTAAAATTCAAACACATCACAACTCTCATCAAATAGAAAATTATCTCTGATGAACGGGTTTCTTCGAACAATTTCAATTACACCAACTAACTCAAACAGTTCAGATAATACACGTCCATAAGGAATAAATGATTTTTGGGAGTTTCTAGATGCAAGGATTGATAGCTTCATATGATTAAATATTATTAATGAAAGATGAATTGGAGTACTCTTGCGAAGGCAATAAAGAAGACACATATCCCTAGGAAGAACTGTATCAACATCTTCCCCTCTGGGATGAAGATTTCTCAACAAGAACAAAAACCAGATTTTTGGAAGCGGTTTCAAATGATATGGATTAAGGGGCTCATATCTAAATGAAGAATTAGGAACACTTGAAAATACATCAACATTCATGCAGGAGTTGGGTAAAGGTGGACTCTGGATGGCTTCATCAATGGAGGAGCAAGTGATGGTAATCGAAATACCAAAGATATGAGAATGAATGAAGTTTCCTTCAGGACTGACAAAAACATGAAGCCATAAATTCTTCATGAGGTTAGGATAAATAGAACCTCTAAGAATTGTTTCACACCCAGACCATCCTTGATTTTCTATAAAATTGTTGATGAAACCATCATCAGACACATAATTGGGTCTTTTCTCTTTGATTTCTTTGAGAAGATTTTCATCTCCTTGAAAGGTTCTAACATCCATGGTATGCAGGAAAGCTTGAAGAAAAGAAACAGTTGAGGATAATACAAGGATAAGGACTTGATGAAAGACTATAGATGAGAAGAGATATAAATAGGTGAAGGGGTGAAAAACACAAGAAGGGGGGGTTGAATTGTAAAACTGGAAACTTAAAGAAAATGACAAGATATTTTTATCCTGGTTCGTTTGATCTCAAACTACTCCAGTCCACCCGTCAAGGTGATTTCGCCTCTCTCCAACGAGGTCTTAATTCACTATATTCAACTGAATACAAATCTGCTTTAGCAACTGCTAAAACCTTCTTGATTCAAACCACAGTCCGGTTTGTCAAGGCAACACTTTCTTACAAAGGTATAAACAAATGTGTGTGAATGTTTTC